CTAAGTTTGGCCCAATTCCATCATTGGTGGAGTTCAGAATGCTCTTTGATTGTAGGTGAACTATAAATCCCAGCAACTACAACTCCCAAATGTCAAGGTCTATTTCCCTTAAACTTAATCTGTGTTCATATTTGGGCATATGGAATATTCGTGCCAAGTTTGGTCCAGATCCATCATTGTTTGAGTCCACAGTGCTCTCTGGATGTGGGTGAACTATAATTCCCAAACTCAAGGTCAATGTCCACCAAACCTTTCCAGTTTTTTCTGTTGGTCATGGGAGCCCTGTGTGCTAAGTCTGGCCCAATTCCATCATTGGTGGAGTTCAGAATGCTCTTTGATTGTAGGTAAACTATAAATCCCAGCAACGACAATTCCCAAATGACAAAATCATTTTTTTTTGAGTGGAGGACATAAATTGGACTGTTAGGTGTCTTGTGTCCAAATTTGGTGTCAATTCCCCCAGTGGTTTTTGAGTTCTGATGGTAGCACGAACTAACATTACATTTTTATTTATATAGATATAGGCTTGGGCGGTTTCGTTCGTTAATTTCGTAATTCGTTATTAATTCGTATTTAAATTAGCTTACGATCCAATATTGAGCCATGCAGGAATAGTGTGAGGAGTAAATTAGATGCGAAACAATTTTTTCAATTTATTTCGTAATTGGTTCGTTATTATTTCGTAATTATTTCGTAATTATTTCGTAATTATTTTCGGATGTCTGGTGCAAGTTTTATAGTTGTTGTTTGTTTTATCACAACAACAGTCAACAACAGAGGGAGAGGGAAGCTACAGAAGTTCCCCCGTCCCATTTGGAGGGTTTTTTGTAGGCCTGGGTAACAACGCAAAAATTTGTTTCTAAAATCGATTTGTAATTGGGGTGTTTTTTTGTTTCGATATTTAAAATAATTACAAAATTTTCCCTTAAAAAAGTTCGGTATTTACGAAATTTCGTAAATATTTACAAAACATTTTGTAAAGATGGCGCCCTTTTTTCAATATTTTTTCAATATTTTTTCAATATTTTTTAAATTTAATTATTAATTTAGTAGAATAGGGAGGAGAAATTATTATTAAGGAGGGAAGGCAGGCACTCACTCTGGCGGGCCCTCAAGCGCTGCCGCCGAGTCGGGCCCGGCTCCTCCGAAGCTAAGGTTTCAGTGCGGAATTGGGAGAAGGGGGTCCCCAAAGGCCATCTAGTCCAGCCCTCTGCTAAGGTTTGAATGCGGAATTGGAGGAAGGGGCTCCCCAAAGGCCATCTAGTCCAGCCCCCTCCTAAGGTTTCAATGCGGAATTGGGAGAAGGGGCTCCCCAAAGGCCATCTAGTCCAGCCCCCTCCTAAGGTTTCAATGCGGAATTGGGAGAAGGGGCTCCCCAAAGGCCATACATTCCAGCCCTCTGCTAAAGTTTCAATGTGGAATTGGGAGAAGGGGCTCCCCAAAGGCCATCTAGTCCCGCCCTCTGCTATGGTCTCAATGCGAAATTGGGAGAAGGGCTCCCCAAAGGCCATCTAGCCCAGCCCTCCGCTAAGGTTTCAATGCGGAATTGGGAGAAGGGGCTCCCCAAAGGCCATCTAGTCCAGCCCCCTCCTAAGGTTTCAATGCGGAATTGGGAGAAGGGGCTCCCCAAAGGCCATACATTCCAGCCCTCTGCTAAAGTTTCAATGTGGAATTGGGAGAAGGGGCTCCCCAAAGGCCATCTAGTCCCACCCTCTGCTAAGGTTTCAATGCGGAATTGGGAGAAGGGGCTCCCCAAAGGCCATCTAGTCCAGCCCCCTCCTAAGGTTTCAATGCGGAATTGGGAGAAGGGGCTCCCCAAAGGCCATACATTCCAGCCCTCTGCTAAAGTTTCAATGTGGAATTGGGAGAAGGGGCTCCCCAAAGGCCATCTAGTCCCGCCCTCTGCTATGGTCTCAATGCGAAATTGGGAGAAGGGCTCCCCAAAGGCCATCTAGCCCAGCCCTCCGCTAAGGTTTCAGTGCAGAATTGGGAGAACGAAGCACACCCACCGCAAAGGTGAGGAAGGAGGGACGGGCCGCCTTCCCGCTGAGGGTCGCTCGCCCTCTCGCTCGCTTGCTCAGCCGGCGCCTTCCCCGCCCTCTCCTCCTCCTCCTCCTCTTTCAGGCTCTGACTGGCTAAGGAGAGGAGAGAGAGGAGAGCTCCCAGCAAGCATCTAGCCATCTTACGTATTTCCGAAATGGACGGAAATACAAAAATATTTGGCGCATGCCGTTTCGATATTTAAAAACACTTCCGGGTTTAAAAATAAGTTTTGTAATCGTTTTGTAATTGCTAAAATTAACGAATATTTAACGAATTACAAAATTAATGAACGAAACCGCCCAGGCCTATTTTTTAGCATATTGCGCAATCGCGTCTGCCATTAATGAATCGATTCGTAATTATACAAAATTTTGTAAATTTCGAAATTTTTAAAAGGAAAATTTCAGAATTCTTTTAAAAAACGAAACGCGATGGACCCCTAAAAACGAAACGAGTTTAGAAACAAATTTTTCCATTGTTACCCAGGCCTAAAGCAATGCTTTTGATACGAAATAAATAAAATAAGGTGATTTTTGAGACACATCCGACATCATGGCGTGAGTAAGCGGACCAATTCAGCGGTTCTGTTTGTGAGTATTGCTGTATTTCTCTTTTTTCTATTGCTGACAGTTTCTGTCAAATGTCAATCAGTAAGTTGTCACACCAAACCCAAAATAATAATAATAATAATAATAATAATAATAATAACCCTGTGCAAAATTTACATTAGCATCAATACAAATCTTACAAGAAGCTTAAGAAATGTTCAAATCAGCATTTGACGATCCCACCGGTATGGAAAACGTGAAAGGAAGAAAGTTCGTCGAAAGCGGGAAAGCTTTAAAAATATAATAAAAAAACATCTACGGAAACTAAATTGCTGTCGAACTCGAGGAAAACACAACGGCAACTGTCATTAAGGAAGATCTCGAGCACAAAATGATGGATGACGTTAAGTGAGGGATGCATTTTCCGACGACAGAAATTGCCGAGTGAAAACCGGAGGTCATCTTTTGCATTGGCGACAATAATATAGGAACGCTCTCCTATATCAAATCCTTTAGGGAAATGGGTCCTCCTGGAACAGTCTGGAATAACAGCGCTTCTTTTTGTTTGTCACCGGTTGGGTTTCGGATCGGTGAGTTGTGTTGTTTGTATCGAGCGGTCCTTGGGAAAAGAGACAGAAATCCATTCCATTTTCAGCAGTACTGATATATATATATAAATACGGAGTCTTACTCTAACACACACATACATATATATAGAACACTAAATGCCAATCCAGGATCAGCCTCTAAACCAGGGGTCCTCAAACTTTTCAAACCGGGGGCCAGTTCGCTGTCCGTCAGAACGTTGGAGGGCCGGACTATAGTTTTTTTCTTTTCAATCAATTAAAAATCCCTCTGCACATTGCACATATCTTATTTGGCTGTGTGGAAGGGTTCTTTCTCGCCCTCTTTAGGCAGTAATTCCAGGAGCAGAGAATGGGAAAACGTCCTATTTCTAATCTGAACAAAATCTGGCTACCAGTATTTAAAAAACTCTAAAATTATAACTGTAAATAAAGAACAACACTCAAACACAGGGGAACTCCAGACAAGAAACAATCAGGGCCAGCTAATCACCTCTCAACAAAGGATTCTCCCTAAAAACTGTAATCAAGGTGGCCAATTGAAACATTCATACCTACCTCCGACAGACAAGAGTTCTTTCCCCCACCCTGGATCTTCCACAATTTTCCTAGTTAAAGGTTTTCCTCTGACATGAAGTCCAGTCGTGTCTGACTCTGGGGTGTGGTGCTCATCTGCATTTCTAAGTCGAAGAGCCGGCGTTGTCCGTAGACACCTCCAAGGTCATGTGGCCGGCATGACTGCATGGAGCGCCGGGGCAGCCTCCCTTGGCTGGCTCCCGCTGCCCATCGGGCCTGACAGATAGCATGAGCCTGCCAAGGAGGAGCAGTCGTGTCTGACTCTGGGGTGTGGTGCTCATCTGCATTTCTAAGTCGAAGAGCCGGCGTTGTCCGTAGACACCTCCAAGGTCATGTGGCCGGCATGACTGCATGGAGCGCTGGGCAGCCTCCCTTGGCTGGCTCACGCTGCCCATCGGGCTCGATGGGCAGCGTGAGCCTGCCAAGGGAGGAGCAGCCCCGCGTGGCCTACTCGCGCATAAAGCACCTCGCGAGGTGCTTTACACAAGAGTAGGCCACGCAGAGCAGCTGCCCTTGGCTGGCTCACGCTGCCCATCGGGAGGAGCAGCACCGCACGGCTTACTCTCGTGTAAAGCACCATGTGAGTTGCTTTACGCAAAAGTAGGCCGCGCGGTGCTGCTCCTCCCTTGGCAGGCTCACGCTGCCCATTGGGCCCGATGGGCAGCATGAGCCAGCCAAAGGAGGCTGCCCCGGCGCTCCATGCAGTCATGCCGGCCACATGACCTTGGAGGTGTTGAAGAGCTGGCATTGTCCGTAGACACCTGCCAAGGGAGGAGCAGCACTCACGAGGTGCTTGACACGAGAGTAGACCGTGCGGAGCAGTTGCCCTTGGCTGGCTCATGCTGCCCATCGGGCCTGACGGATAGCGTGAGCCAGCCAAGGGAGGGGCACTGTGGGGGAGGGCGCTCCTCCTCCGCAGGCCGGATAAGTGCCCTTGGCGGGCTGGAAGTCGTCAGGCCCGATGGGCAGCGTGAGCCAGCCAAGGGAGGCTGCCCCAGCGCTCCATGCAGTCATGCCGGCCACATGACCTTGGAGGTGTCTACGGACAACGCCGGCTCTTCGACTTAGAAATGCAGATGAGCACCACACCCCAGAGTCAGACACGACTGGACTTCATGTCAGAGGAAAACCTTTAACTAGGAAAATTGTGGACGATCGTGGGGCAGCCACCCTTGGCTGGCTCACGCTGCCCATCGGGCCTGACGGATAGCGTGAGCCAGCCAAGGGAGCGGCACTGTGTGTGTGTGTGTGTGTGTGGGGGGGAGCTCCTCCTCCGTGGGCCAGATAAGTGCCCTTGGCGGGCCAGAAGTGGCCCGCGGGCCGTAGTTTGAGGACCCCTGCTCTAAACCCTTCTTTCAAAATACTCTCCAGCGCTCCCCCCTTTTTTTCAAAATATAAAGAAGCCATAAAACTGTACATTAAAAGATATCTGTGAGCTACAAAAGTAGGTTCCCTCCCTTGTTAATAATTTTGGAAGTGTAAACAAAGAGGTTCAAGTATAAAAGTGAGTTTGCGGTGACTTTTCAAAATATTTTGGCACCGGATGTTCAGGGTTCGAGGAGCCAATGAGTGTCCCAATGCGACTACCATATGTCACTGGTGAAACTGAGCTCCCTCGTTGACAAGGGCAGCAAAGGGTTGTTCCTGTGAAACTCTTGTGCGTCCTTCATGCTGTTATTAAGAGGTAGCTGCCCATTGAGTAGCGTCAGGGGTATGTTGCAATAAGTGTGGTGGTTGCTGCTTATGGCAGCCAAGGGCAAGGTGGCGGACTGCATGTCGTACTCGTATCCTCTGCAGTAATGTCTCGTTTGCACCGGATCCGGCTGTTGGTAATTGCCCAGGTCTGCCTGCGAGGCAACCATAGCGGCCGAGGTGTCCGTCACGGCAATGTTCGGCATCGTTTGGAGATCCCCAAAGAGGCCCTGCTCGGCCGAATCCAGGACTTGGCGCCGGGACAAAACCTCTTTTTTCTTGGCCGGCATTTCGTAGAGCAAGCGCTTCCAAAAGGTCGAATTCAGTTTGCTGCTTTTGGGACCGTTCCACTGGACGACCGAGAAGAGTTTCACGGCGTGCTTTAGCGATTCGACTTCTTGGTAATTCACTTTGCCTTTCAGTTCGGGACACTCGATGAAAATGACTTTGATTTCTCCACTGACAAGCAGGTTGTGGAGTCTGTTTTCCATCTCAAAAATGCTCCAGCCTCTCCTGAGGATGTAGTCTGGAGTCAGTACAATGATCAGCCTGCGGCTTTGTTCTACACATCTTGTGAGATCTTCAAGGTAGGCTGCAAAGCATAAGAAAAGAGACAGTGAAAGAGAGAAATATATGCACTGCATGCAGACACACAAGGCTGCCCTTGCTCTTTGGCTCCTTCTTGGCCAACTACTCCTTCTTGGCCAACTCAACAAACAGATACATGTATTAAAATCCTGCCTGTCTCCTTATGGTCAATGGTGTTGAATCTGTTGGGTGTTTAGCATTTTCTGGTCTTGCGTCTCCCTTTGAGAGAGCCATAAATAGGCCTCTCACTTGCGGGTTTGAGGATGAGATTCTTTATAAGAGGGTTGAATGAAAAGTAATGCCTCCACCTTCGTAACTCCTCAACAGATGGCAGTAGTGGAATTCTAAAACTTTCCGCCAAAATGGAACTGTAGAGGAGAGTCTACTGAACAAGCCAGTACCTGCCGCATACCAGTACTGCCATCTGTACCTGCCTGGAGGCTCTGTTGAACTGGCTACGTGCTAGCAGACTGAAAGTGAACCCGGCGAAGACTGATATCCTGTGCCATGGCCGCCCGAGAGGTCCGACCCATCCGTTACCTCCCCTTTGATGGCGCTGCTCTCTCTCCATCGCCTAGGTGTCATTTTGGATTCACAGCTGACGATGGAGGCTCAGGTCATTGCTGCCAGCAAACAGGACTTTTTCTATCTATGACAAGCGAGGCAACTGGCACCTTACCTGTCGGATGATGCTCTGTCCACAGTCATCCATGCCATGGTCACATCTCGGCTAGACTATTGTAACGCCCTGTATGTTGGCCTTCCAATGTCTACGACCCGAAAGCTCCGTATTGTCCAGAATGCTGCAGCCAGGTTACTCACAAAAACGCCCATGAAATGCCATATAACACCAGTGCTGCGGCATCTACACTGGCTCCCAATTGAGTATCGTGGTTTGTATAAGATGCTGGTCCTGACCTTTAAAACTTTATGTGGCCAGGGTCCATTGTATCTTAGAGACCGTCTCTCCTTCTACCATCATCGGAGGTCGCCACGACCATCCCAACGCAATTTGCTCTATATACCGGGTCCTAGGGAAGTGCACTTGGAAAGCACCAGGCACAGGGCCTTCTCTGTTTCTGCCCCTGCCTTGTGGAATTCCTTGCCTCCCTATTTGAGAGCCATGCGTGACTTAGGGCCTTTTATTCTAGCACTTAAGACCTGGCTTTTTACTAGAGCATTTGACCCATGTTAATTTAAATATTTGTATGTATGTGTTTTATCCTGTATAATTTCTGCTATGTAAATCACCTGGAGCATCTCGGATGGAGGGCGATTAATAAGTAATTAAAGATGATGATGATGATGATGATGATCTGTTGAGGAGTTACGAAGGTGGAGGCATTACTTTTCATTCAACCCTTGTCGCAATCTTTCTTGAGAAAGGTCTCTTCAAGGGACATTTTCCAAGTGTGTGGCTTGCCAGAGCTTGTTCAGTAGACTCTCCTCTACAGTTCCATTTGGCGGGAAGCCTTAGAATTGAACACTTGTGTTGTTAAAGGGCTAAGTGTGGAACTCTGCGCAGCCGGTCGGTCAATGCGACTTAAGTTACTGCTTTTTGGGCTTTTTGCTTTTGGACTTTTATCAACTTTATATTCGTCTCTTTTATTGGCTCCAATTATTCTTCAAATAAAGATGACTCTTTTTTCATCCAAGGTGTGGTGTATTTAATGATTAGAGGGTCCTGTTCTTACTCTGGGGTGTAACAGTCCCTGTGCTCTCGGTTATGGATTTATGCTTACGTTTTGATTCCTGATTTTTCCACATACCTTGTCACTTTTGAACAAAATTCTGATAGCCTTTTTTTCTTATTGCTTTTTTGGATTTTGATTTTTGTATTGCCTTTTGCCTTTTCATGTTTGCTTTCTAGCTGTTTAGTTAGTAGGCTTGTTTGATCGTGTTCGTTAGTTTCTAAAGTTGTTATTAATTCGTATTTAAATTAGCTTATGATGCAATATCGAGCCATGGTCACATCCCGCCATGACTACTGCAACGCTCTCTACGTGGGGCTGCCCTTAAAGACGGCCCGGAAACTTCAGCTAGTCCAGCGCGCGGCAGCCATGTTACTAACAGGAGCGGGACGCAGGGAGCATACAACGCCCTTGCTGTTCCAGCTCCACTGGCTGCCGATTGCTACCGGGCCCAATTTAAGGTGCTGGTGTTATCCTACAAAGCCCTAAACGGTTCCGGCCCAAAATACCTCTCGGACCGCATCTCGGCCTATGAGCCCACGAGGGCCTTGAGATCGTCTGGGGAGGCCCTTCTCTCGATCCCGCCTGCCTCACAGGCACGTCTGGCGGGGACGAGAGAAAGGGCCTTCTCGGTGGTGGCCCCCCGGCTGTGGAACGACCTCCCTGCTGACATCAGACAGGCGCCTTCCCTTCTGTCCTTCCGTAAGAGCCTGAAGACCTGGCTATTTGAGAAGGCATTCAACTGAGCGCTACGGCAACTGGTAATTGACAACTGGAACGGAATACGGATTACGATATTGGTTATGATTCTATGATGTGACGGAGCGGATTATTTAGTGTAACTAGATTATAGTGTATTATTGTTGTATTGATTCCCTGTTTTGCCCTTTTTGTAAACTGTTTTTATGTTGTGCACCGCCGCGAGTCGCCCTAGGGCTGAGAGCGGCGGTCAATAAATGCAGTAAATAATAATAAATAATAATAATGCAGGAATAGTGTGAAGAGTAATTAAGAATCGAAACAATTTTTCCAAATTTTTGTAACTATTTCGTAATTATTTCGTAATTATTAAGGCGGGAAAGAAGGAGAGAAAAGGTGCCAGCGTTGCCTTTCCTCCCCGTCCTCCTCCTCCTCCTGGAGATATTTTATTATCTTATTACTTATTTTATTATTTTATTTTATTATTTTATGATTTATTTTATTATTTTATTAATTTTAAGTGATTTTAATTTGTATTTTTACTAACTTAATGTATTTTAATTTCATCCTGAATTTCAGAAGTTCCCCCTGTCCCGTTTGGAGGTGTTTTTAGTAGGCCTGGGTAACAACGGAAAAATTTGTTTCTAAAATCGATTTGTATTTGGGGTTTTTTTTTGTTTCTATATTTAAAATAATTACAAAATTTTCCTTTTAAAAAGTTCGATATTTACGAAATTTCGTAAATGGTAAAAAATTAACGAATCGATTTCCGAAACAATAACGAATCGATTCGTTAATGGCGGACGCGACCGCGAAATACGCTAAAAAACCTCCAAAAGCTTCTGAAGCTTCCCTCTCCCTCTGTTGTTGACTGTTGGTGTGATATTATAATTTTTTTTCACTAATTAAACCATAAAAATGGCCCAGACATGCGGAAATAATAACGAAACGACCTCAAAACAATAACGAAACGAATACAATATCGAAATACGAAGCATTTACAAAACGTTTTTGAAAATTCGTTTTTTTTAATAATTGCTCCAGAATGGTTCGTTATCGTTTTGTAATTGAAAAAATTAACGAATTATTAACGAATTACGAATTAACGAAACGAAACCGCCCAGCCCTAGTTTTTAGTGCATTGTGTAATCGCGTCCGCCATTAACGAATCGATTCGTAATTAACGAAATTTTGTAAATTTCGAAATTTTGAAATCTTAAATTTCGGAAGTCCTCAGAAATTCAAAACGCTGGCGCCCCCTGGAAATGAAGCAAGTTTAGAACCAAATTTTTTCTTGATCAAACAAGCCTATTAGTTAGTAATACTGGACTCATGTGTGGTGCAAAGGTGATTCCAGGCCAGAGTGCAACAAATAGCCTGGGGGCTGACACATGTATTGGAGACGGACTAGTAAATGGCAAGGCCTTGGGCTGCTGAGACAACCTGTTCTCCTTCCATGATAGACACATAAGATGATGATGTTCAAAGGTGAGCATATTTACAGTGGAGATGTGCTCAGGGACGGGTTGTTGGACAATCTGAATGCAGACAGTATCCTTGACAGATACTTTATGAACTAATCTTGCCTCTTTGCCCAGGACGGACCAGGGAGAGAGAGCGAGATGCTGTTCACGGGTGATCCAGAGACATATTTCCAATCTATTTCTTAATATGAAATAGATTGAAGGGGTGAGAACAGAGACTCGAATTCATCCCATGTATGAAACATATACAAAATCCTATGCACCCAATTACTGATACCACCTCCCCTCTTCCAGTTACAGCTTTTTACAAGTCAATGTTACTGCTATTGAATCCTGGGATTTGTAGCTGCTTGAGGTATCTCAACAAACTACAAATCCCAGGATTATGTAGGATGCATTGCACCATATCAATAGCACAACATATGCTTTGCAGTGGTTTGGTTCCTAATTTAAATTCGGAACCAAACCACTGCAAAGAGTGGTTTGCTATGGTTAGGAAGCTTTGGTGGAGATGCTGCAAATTCTGTTTAGAGCTTCCTAGCTGCACATCGCGAAACGACAACACGTCACCTAAGTTTGGACCCTCATAGAGTAGACCCATTGAAATAAATGGCATTGTCTAATCACCACCGCGGGAGTATTATTGTGAAAATAAAACTACATTTGGCCATAGTTTCCATGTTAAAGAAGGTGGCCATCAGACCTAAAGACCTAAAGAAGGCGACCATCAGACCATCAGGCCATCAGACCTAAAGAAGGTGACCATCAGACTTAAACCTGTTATACAGATATGTCCCAATGTTGTTTTTTTTTTAAAAAAAAATAGATCACAGAGAATTGGGCCAAGCAAATCTTCCTGGAATCTGCTCAGATTTTCCTAAAAACAATGAAAAAAGGCATGAAGTGGGGAGAGATTCTGATATGAGCGACTCAACCAACCATGCTTGATGTGTTATCGAAGGCTTTCATAGCTAGAATCACTGGGTTACTGTGAATTTTCTGGGCTGTCTGGCCATGTTCGTAGCATTCTTTCCTGATGTTTCTGTCAGGAGTCCATTTCCGATGGCATGAAGATATCACAAATTCCCTCCATGACATCCTGACTGAGTCATCCTTTTTCTGCTTCCCTG